CATTGCTGAAGACCAGTCCAGGTGGTCACAATGGTCCCTTCTCACGTTATAAAGATTAAAAATGCTCTGTTGCACTGAGCAAACTTATTTTCATACCCTACTGCCAAATCACAGGATCACAGAATCATTCAGGTTGGAAGGAGACTCAGGAAGTCATTTTGTCAAACTCTCTGCTCAAAGCAGGGTCAGCTTTGAGATCAGACCAGGTTGCTCAGGAGTTTATCCACTCACATCTTGAAAACCTCCAAGGATCGAGGCTGCACAGCCTTGCTGGGAAACCTCTTCCAATGCCTGACTGGTCTCATCATGACAAAGTTTTTCCCTGCTGCCAGGCTGAACCTCTCCCACTTCAACATCCACTGTCTCTTGCCCTCATATGATGCATCACCACAAAGAACACGTTGGCAGCTTCTCAATAAGCCCCACAGGTATGGGAAGGCTGCTATCAGGCTTCCTCAAAACCTTCTCTACTTGACCTTGAACAAGCCAAGTTTCCTCAGCCTCTCCTCACAGGGAAGACACTCCAGCCCCTGACCTTAGCTGAACTTGTTCCAGCTCCTTTTCAGCAGAGTTAGTCCCCAGCCTGCACTACAGCAAGAGGTTGTTCCTTTCCTAGTGCAGGACTTTGCATTTGTCCTTGTTGGATTTTGTGAGCTTCCTCTTGGCTCATTCCTCCAGCCAGTCTAGGTCCCTCTGGATAGCAGCCCTGCCCTCAAACATACTGACTGCATGCCCCAAACTTATGGTCATCTGCACTGAAGAGCATGTACTCTTCCTCCTCCAGGACATTGACAAAGCTGTTAAACAGGACAAACACCTGCAGAACCCCACATGATACCAGCCTCCAGGCAGAGTAGGACCCATTAGCCACAACTCTCCGACCATGGCCATCCAACCAGTTTTTTTAACTCAACTTGTTGTCCAGTTATGCACACCGTGACATCCTAACATGGATACAAGAATATTGGGAGAGACAGCGCTGAACACCTCACTTGATAGGACAAGAGGAAACGGCCTCAAGTTGTGCCGGAGAGGTTCAGGTTGGATATTAGGAAGAACTTCTTCACTGTAAGAGTCGTTAGGCACTGGAACAGGTTCCCCAGGGAGGTGGTGGACTCACTATCCCTGGAGGTGTTCAAAAAACGTTTAGATGTGGTGCTTCAAGACATGGTTTATTGGGTTTAGTGGGCATGGTGGCGTTAGGTAGAAGGTTGGACTTGATGATCTTTGAGGTGTCTTCCAACCATAACAATTCTATGATTCAATGATCCTATGAAGTCGAAGTAGATGACACCTACTGCCCTCCCCTCTAGTCTTCACAAATCCACTCATTTTGTAGTCTCTACTTCTACCTCCTGCTGGCCTCATTTTTACACTGCAGCTCTAGCGCGAGCTCCCTGTTTGAGCAGACCAGCCTCCCAATATATCTATTAATTTTCCTGAGTACTGGAATGGACCATTCTTGCACGAGGAAGGACCTCACACCTTTCCTGAGCTTACCCCTTGCAGCTGCCATCTATGGGATCCCACCAACTAGCCCTCTTCATAAGCTGAAGTTTGCTCTCCTAAAGTTCAGTTAAATCCTGGTTGCATCTCCAACTAGAACCTAATTCTTCAAATACTCATTCCTGTACATCTCAACAATACTTTTTGTATGTTTGCGACTGAGCCAAGATACCCTGGGCCACTGAAATTCCACTAGAAGACACAGACACCAACACAACAGAGTAAACAATTAAAAGACATCATTCCACACAAATGAACAAAGCTAAGAAATACATTTTTCTCCACTGGAAACACGCAAGGACTAACCCAATTTCTGAAGAGGCATCAGCAGTGCTTGTTTTATTACAGACCTACACAATACATAGTACTTTACAACATGGGTCCTTTACCGATTTGTTTTCATAAGGACTCTATACTAAAAACAACAAATAACACAGTTGGGGGGAAAAAAAAAAAGACAGAACAATTCTCTGAGTCCTCAGTGTAATCTGTTTCTGCAAAGGGAAAAAAAATGGTTGGTTGAGATGCAGAGACTCTTGATAATTTAAGCATTTGGTCTTTTTTTTCCATAATAGACTATTAGCTTTCCAGATATCCACTAAGCTAAAATGAATTAAACCATTCCCTTTGTCCATTATGACTAAAGCTTTAGGTATAATACACACTCAGAAAAAAAAAAAAAACACAAAGTACTCGTTGTCTGACCAAATTACTTTTCATCAATATTGCTTTAGGAATTACAGACATACTGTAAAGATTTTACACTTGTTAAATATTTTAGTGCATTTAATATTACTCAGAAGCCAGAAAATGATCCAAGTAAGCTAGGATGCTTTAAGACGTAGTATTTAGATGTCAGATTTCATTTTAAGTGTACGTAATTTCATTTTCCAATCCCAAACTGAAGTCAATAAATTCATCATATATTGGCAAGCAACTAGATACATATTCTTTCATGTAACCTAACCCGTTATTCCTCCACCAAAAGCTATCACAGACTTGACTTAAAGAAAGGGCTGTTTTTAATAGCTCTAATGTTTCTCCTTCTAGACATGTTTTTTATTTTCATAGAAAATTGTTATTTGCCTAGAATACATAAAGATACAAATACAGGCTAACAAACTGTCAAGTTCAAAAGTTGCCCAGCTGGTAATCCAAAAGCCAGACCCAGCCTCCAACCAGCACCATCCTTGGATAACCCTTCAGAAGCAGCGAGCGATCCACTCTGTCAGAAAAACAAGTCACTGTCCCCAGACTCATAAACAGGACAGGAAGACCTGCCTGGAGAGAGGTTTTTCATTAACACTGCAAGAGGCTTTACCAAGAAACCAAGCCCCAGCACTGCTGCATCACAGAAGGAAGATCCCCAGATTTGGGATCCAGTCCCCACAGCCACCAACAGAGAGTAGGTCAATCTGAAGTGATCAGAGCACCAGCTTTGAAGCGAGAGCCCTTCCTGTAACGACACCTGATCAGACAAATGCAGACTCTGACAAGTTAGATGTAGCTACAAAATAAACAAATATGTTGCCTGTTTTTACAGCATCAAAGAAGTTCAATAGTTCGTAAATCTTCATCAAAAAACATTCAATGAAAGAGGAATGGATGGTATGGTAACATGTACTCAAGTATAATTTAAGCTTCTTAAAATGATTTGTATTTAGCAACTGAGGTATAACACCGATTATACTGTCCCAGGGAAATACAAGCACTTCACCTAAATCACTAAATTTTAAAGAAAAAAATACATGTAAGGTTTCCCAAGCTTGTGAATGGTCAAGCGATTCATTAAGCCTTTAAATTAATAAATAAATAAATAAAATAGCACTATTTTCAACACACAGAGAGAAACAAAGTAAGGGATCAAGATACATACACAGTGAGAATCAGCAAAGAATTACTGAGGTATTACAGCCTTCATATCAAGTCACCACATCCCAAAGATCACAGATGGTTATTCACAAGACTACTTCCATAACTCAGGTTTAAGGATGAAAAATCAACAAGCACCATCATGAACGTAGGTAGGATGCGCAAATATTATTTCATGTGAATTTTTATCTAGAATAATTTCTTCACCACAGTAAAAGACATGTACATAATAAGAGGGCTGCTATTAAAAAAAAAAAAGAAAAAGAAGAAGGAAAACCGGATAATCTGGCAGTCCATGCATGAAACTACAGCCCTACTCCATTCAAACCTTACTTAAGCAAACATTAAATTCTAAGCAATTTTACTGGGCAAACTACATTTCACAAGCCAGGTATCAGTTCAAGTCATTTTTAGCACTGATATTTTCCCTGCCTTCACCATGCTACTGTCTTCCTATTCATAAACTGGAAAACCAAACCTCTAAAACAGCATCATCTGGGAGCCCCGATCTTTGTAAAATATCCTCCATTGGATTTGCCTGACATCATTAGATCCTTACATCTGACCTCTTCACCCCAGTACTCCCAGAGGGCAATTCATCTCATCCTGAAGTAGAATTCTTAAATAAGCCCTACAAATTGTCCTCCAAAATGTCTTTTTCTTTCTACTGACTACAGATACAGACAGCTGCACCACAGACACCTTCAATTAAGCAAGAGGAAACTAACTTTCTATGCCTCAGATGACAGAAAGATGCTACGTTGTGTTCATTCAAGTCTTGCTGCAAGGCCCACTACTGCCACAGGACTTGTTTTTAATCAGAGTGGTGAGTTTTGGTGGGATTTTTTGTAAGCATCAAGGCAAAAGACCCTTAGGGAATACTGATATCATTAATATTTCTGGAGCACTGATAAGAAGCCTTTCTTGAACCTTACAGGTTTCACACAGTCGACAAACATAAATCACACACTCCGATCTCTGCCATTCATTTTCACTCCTTCAGTAGCTACGCCGTCCTCAATGTGCTGAAGTATTTTAAATTAGAGTACAGGCTGCCTGCCATGAAGCCTGTTTGATGCATTTCAACAGGCCTCAATAATGAAATATAAAAAGTTAAGAAAGCCATCATTTTGAGCCATCAATCTGTATACACTGTATTTGACTTATTTCGACTATTCCATGATAGGAAAACGGCATATTATTCTTTTAATGTTTACTTAAGTGTATTTCAACAGAAGCTCACTATACCAAAATTAAATGTTGATTAAGTATGTAAGAATTTTCACTTCAGAACTCAATACATATTTGGAATGGACATCTGCTTTTTCTGTGTTTTGTTTTGATTTTTTTTTTAAAAAAAGTTTTTCACAATGGATAATAGCATAGAAAACCAAGTCTAACAAACAGTTGTGTTTTACACTTTAACTTCAGTCAAAAGAAAACAAAGAGTCATTTAACTCCTCTAAAAGCCTACGAACTACTTTCTTCTTCAAAGGAGACGAGCAAAAAAGGTAATGTCAAAAAATCATCTCTACGAAATGGCAATGAGTTCATTACAGTGCTCTGAAAGACATATTTGTTTTTCTTCCTCACATTAAAATACAGAAAAAACATGGGCGTACCTGCACCAGACGCTGATCGGTGCTGAGACTGCGATCTTCCACTGGGTGAAGAAGGTTCCTTCATACGATCAATGACACTGTCAGATAGCTGAAAAATATAACCCCCAACCCACAGTCAGACTGCATCTCCTCCTTCGTCCCCATTACTCCCCGGCCAAATGAAGTAAAACTTTAATAAAAAGAGCACAGAGCCCCAAAATAAGATATGATGGCTGCTAAAATTCTATCCACAATGCAAAATAAACTTTCTGTTTCCCCTTATTTGTGGCGTGAGCACTCATCTCTGAGTGCAAACAATTAGACTGAACAAGGTTATTTTGGGTCTCACTGAACATAAGAAACTGATATGACAAAATATAGGATACATGGAAGGGTAAAGGAAACAACACCCTTTGACACGTTGCTTGTAATTAATCAGCCTCTTTGCCTTTCTCGGTTATTTGGACAACAGTCAAATACCACCCCATGCAGGTGCAGAGCACTTAACCCAAGAGGAATTTCATCCTGTAAAGCCCTCAAAACACCTGTGCAACACAAGTGGTCACAGCAAGTGCAGTCAGCCACTAAGTTCATTCTAATGTTGACACATGCACACACAAAAATACTGTCACAAATTATGCAGAATCAAACTAAGAATAAGAGTAATGTCCAGTTTTAGATCTATTGTAGCCCATGGAAAAAACTAACAGAAGTTAAAGAAGTAATAACAGGAAAGCATGTTTTTTTATTTCCAGCTTACAACTTTCTATTGCTTCCCTCGAACACTAATTCTATCAAAACGCTGTTTTGACTGCCTCTAAGAATTAATTTTAATTAGCAAATTCTTTACTAAACCTACAGCATGATGTCTCTCACCAGCAGAAATCTGTTACAAAGATTTTGCTAAAATCTGTAATCTAATATACAAGTGTAAAATTTCTTCAGCATAAGATTTCTTAACCCAGTCCTTAAAACTCTAAACTTAACTTCACACAGTTAGTTTTACATATGTAAACAGTTATGCATATCCCACTTTTGAATGCTCTATTGACTAACATTATTTATTTACTGAAGCTGCATTTTCCTAGTACTAATGATATCATTCAGTTTTTATTCCCAGTTTTTCAAGATCTGGGATATTGAGAGAAATTCCAACAGTCCTTCCCAGTATTTAAGTATGGTTCAGAGCAGATGAACTCTGCTGTGAACACTTACATTGCTGTCACCTATTTGCTGGAGGCCATTAAATTACCAGAACTGAAAAATATTAGTATGCTGACAAAGACAGTAGTTACTATCATGGTTCATTCTGCAACACTTCTCCCTGTGAGCAGCAATGAAAGGTAACTTATTATCACTCCTGGTATGAACTACACAGTGTTTTCCATTGAAAAAAATTCTAAGCTGGAAGATTTCTCAAAGTGTCTTGTGTCACAAGCTATCTTCTGGTCTATTATAGGGAAGCACATGCCATAAATAGTGAAAGAATGGGAATGCTTCTGTAGGTACGCAGGAAGTCGGATACACAGCATGTAAGAGAGCAGAATATGGGAAAGGGAGGAGCTCTCGCACGTAGAGGTCAGGGAAAGTGAAAACAAGCTCTACAAGTTACACATCTCTCCTACAACCTTTCTGCCACCCGTCTTCGGTAACCAGGCTGAGGGCAAGGCTTCCCGACGACAGCTCCCTACTCACGCCGTGCTTCTTGTCACGACAGACGCCTCTAGACCGCACCTGAGCACCACGGCTCTCGCCGCTCCCCTGAAAGACCCCAAGTGAAAAAGCGGGAGCGGGAAAGGGGTGGAGGTCACCGCGGGAGAGGGGCTGGAAACGGAGGAGGGCAACCGCGAGGCGTGAGGGGACGAAGCTGCAGGGACAGAGGCAGGAACCAGCAGCGCTGAGGCAGAAAAGGACGAGAGAGGGACCGGGCCGGGCCGAGCTCCGGGCAGACCGGGG